TATCTATCTATCTATCTATCTATCTATCTATCTATCTATCTATCTATCTATCTATCTATCTGTCTATCTATCTATCCTCCTATTCACCCATCCCACACTGGACTACAAGGTCTATTTGAATATAAGGTTGGCAGTTCATACTCACCAGCTGCTCCTCAGAAACTCTATACAAGGGTCACTATGAGTCGGAACCTACTTGCCAACATTTAACAGCAACAACATATATCCCACAAATAGATAAGAGTTTGAAAGAGGATATTTATACATAAGAATTTACCTTTCCTGTAAATACAGCTATGAATGTGGAGAAGCATGCAGCAGCCAAAAAGAAGAAAACTTCCTAGACATCATCAAATATCTTAAGGCAATGTGTTGCTGGGCCTGGGCGCTTAGGACCATATTCTCACTGGCATAACATAGTTCACAAAGGCAATGTTCTGCATTCTCCTTTGGTAAGTAGTATCTGGAATCTTGAAAGCTCATGAATAGCCGGCCATCTAAGGTACAGCTATTGGTTCTCCATGTTTGGAAGAAAGAAGATTGATAAGAACTGAAGATACTTGGAATCAATTAGTCCAATTCACTAATGGAACATGTGAACATCAGTCTACATGACTCTGGGACCCGAAGAAATAGGTGGTGCTAAGCTGCCACTATCAACTTCTCTGAAAGGGATTGCTTTAGAAGGTCTTGGATAGAGTGGGAGAAAATGTGAACAAAACTCTAAATTATTAAAAAAAGGAAAAAGACCGATTTTACTGGTTGGAAAGAGACTGGAGAAACCTGAGACTATCTACCTCTATCACCATTCAGGTCTGGAAAAGAACTCATCCTGTGGTCCAATTTTCAGCCAAGCAGTAGAGAGGTATGTTAGAAGGACAACAACACTAGTAAGGTGTGCGTACCATGGAATGGTGAATAAGTCAAAATCCAAAGGGCAACATTTTCCTAAGGACAACATTGAGAAGGGATGGGAAGGTGGGGGGAAGGCAGAAAGGAAGCACAGGGAGGAAGCGGGATAAAAAAACCTGTTACATGGAGGGGACTGTAATCATTGAGATGAAACAAAGTGTAGGATTTGTGGATTGTAAAACTGATGATCTTGTCTGTAAACCTTCACTCAATTCACACTAAGAAGTTAAAAAAGAACAGAAAGAAAGCAAAAGCGAATGAATTTGAAACCGCAGAAGCTTACTTAGAATGATTCTAACACCAAACCCAACCCACTGCTATCTAGTTACTTTTGCTTCATAGTGACTCTTTAGGGCAGAGTACACTGCAGCGCACGGGTGGTTTAGTGGTAGAATTCTTGCCCGTCATGCAGGAAGCCTGGGTTTGATTCCCGGACCATGCAGATCAAAATGTAGATTCCTGGTGTGGCATGTGGTTTAAGTGCTGGACTGCAAAGTCGGTTTGACTGCAAGGTCGGCAGTTCAAGCTCACCATATGCTCACCAGGGCTCCTTGGATTCAAACAAGTCCACTCTAAATGAAGCTATTTATCACTCTTTTCTAAAACCCAGATAGAACTGCCTCTCAGTGATTTAGTGTATTCTCAGTTGCTCCATACTAACTGAATAAGGATATCCAGAACCCTATCTAGGGTGACATACCTTCCCACTAGAACCCCAGTTGACTGTTTCAGACCCATTTCCTGCTTTCCATTTGTCCAGGACCTCTAACCCAGTTACAGACTATGGTTTGAGATTCCATTATTGCCCTCAAGACCCAGCAATTACGTTTTCAGGTATAGATTCTAGAGACCTTCGCATACTTGTATAAGGATGTCAGTGAGTCATTGTATACAGAAGCAGAACACAGGGGCCAACCTAGCTGCCCATCAGTAGGGGAATGGATAGCATGATAGTCACATGACATGACGGAACACATTCATTGGGAAGCTGGGCGAGAGGGCTGCTGCACAGTGGAACTTAGTCATAGGCAGTTGCCTCCGGGCTGGGTGTTTCTGCGCAGTGGATTACAGTCCCATGCTTGGAGGAAGGCTTCAGGAATCTCCTCATTAGGAAACTTAACTTCCTTAAAGATAAGATCCAAGATTCTGGTTCCAGAGTTTGCAGAACTCTGGGGGTAGAAACAAGCCTTGCAAATGTTTGCTGAGGTGAAATGAACTGAACTGAATGTCCAAGGAGGATATTGGATATTGGAAGGTGGAAGCAGGCAGTCATGGAGGGTGGGTCACTGTCCATCAGAAGGTATTTTTCTTTTGTCCTGGCCCCCCAGCTGGCCTGCTTTCCCCAGTCCCTACCAGCTTTCCTTGCAATTGGTTGTGGCCATGTGCTCAAGTGAGGATGGTGGGATGAGAGAGAAAGGATGGGTCCACGCGCTCCTTCATGTTCTTTCTCCTCTGGTTAGATGCACAGGCTCTGAGATGATGAGGCTCTGGGAGCTGGTAGAGCCACAATAGGGAAGGAGCCTGGATTCCCAAATGACTTCAGGGATGAAGGCTGCCCTCCTGACCAGGACACCTCTGCGAACAGTTATTTGAATAAGAAATAAACCTCTGCCATGCTAAGCCATGAAATGTTTGGGTCTATTTCTTGCAACAGTTTAGCATATATATATGCTAAACTTGATATTGTTTGCTAGAGATTCCTTCCCCCCCCCCTACACTTTATTGCTAATGGAGTGAAGTTTACAGAGCAGATCATCAGTTTTGCATTCAACAAACCGTTATACACTTCAGTTGTGATCCCCTCAATATAACATCAGTTACCCCACTGCCTCCCTGTGGTTCTTGTCTCAGTTTCTCCTTCTTTCCCAAACCTCTGAACTTTGTCCTTGGGTAAATTTTTGATCTTTTGATCTCAAATGGTTGGCCATTCAGTGATGTGTGTACCTCACTAGTATCGTCCCTCCTATATATACCAATCTATTGCTTGACTGAAAATTGAGCCATGGGGGTGAGTTCGGTTCTAGACCAAGGGCCTAGGGTCAGAGTCTTGGGGGTCTACTAGTCTCTATTTGATCAATAAGCCTGGTCTTTTTTATGATTTTGAATTTTGTTCCACGTTTTCTCCCACCTTCTCTCCTGGACCTTCTAATGTGATTCCTTTCAGAGAAGCTGGTAATAATAGCCTGGCTGTTGTTGTTGTTGTTGTTAAGTGCCGTCGAGTCGGTTCCGATCCATAGCTACCCTGAGCAGAGTTTCTCATCTAGTTTTTCTGGTCTCAGAGTCATGGAGACTGATTTTCCCGTGGTTCATTAGTCCCTAGGAGTGTCTTTAAATTGCTTTTTTCCTTCAGATAAGGAGAGACCAATTGTTGCACCTTAGATAATTGCTTCCCTAGACATTCCTGATAGGTCCTGCTGTCGGACTTCCTCCCGTAGCTGGGGGTGGGGGTGGGGAT